GCGCCGCCGTGCTTCCCAAGCGGCGCACTATCCAGTGCGCCACCGGGCCGGCCCTATGGTTGGTTTTTTATCGTACTTTATTTTTACTTATTTCCATAAGTACTAAAAATATAATTAGTCATGAAGTATCTGTAATACTTTTTTATGTCTAAAAAAGATGCTTCCTTGTGTGGATGTATGTACATATGAATATATGTATGTATTTATGGCTGCTGGCTGGTATGAGGACATACTCTTGACCTTGGTGTTATCAGCACATGTGTTTCTTTGTTTTTAAAGATTGAGAAGCATTGACCAATATCACTGGAAGGTCTTGGGTCCTCTCTTTGCTGTTGGATTAGGAAATAACCCATCTGAACCATTACATCTTAAAAATTGGTCAAAAAGAAAGTCTATAGAACTTGATACCATAAGTAAAACAGATTTAATGACCTAAGTCAGAAGACTGAAAAACATGTCTCAGAACCATTGGAGGTTTTGGGGACATACTGATCCACTTCTAACTCCACCATTATCAGCCCCTCCATTCTCTTATAGAGACATTGAAACACAACAGCATTGTCTTAATCTATTTCTATGTCTTAAATAGTCTAAGGAAACTATAAAGATACAGACACGGATTTATCAAGGTGGAAATGTCGTATTTGACTGTTTTCTGAGCTTGATCCTTGAGGCTTTCTAAATAGCTGTTGAAATAAAAATGAGAGACTATTTCGGGTCTTGAGCATTGAGGAAGATGAGGGGAAGGGAGTGACATTTATTGAGCACCAGCTCTGAGCTCAGTGCTCTTCTAGTTCCTACGTGTCTTTCTGTTTGTTCTCACTGACTTTTCATGACCACCCTTGAGATACGATTCCTAATAAGGTAGAGGAGAAAGCTCAGCTTGATAAAGGTTGTGACTTGCCCTGGATCTCTTGGTTAATGGATGGTAGAATTGGGATTTGAACCTTAGGTGAATTTTCCCTGAAATTTACAGGAAAATAGAGTAAATGTCCCATAGTTTTATATTTTTAAAGGTAGACAACTAACAAAGCCCCAATTTCCTTCTTCCCCCTAGCCTTTTCCCTTCACCCAAAAAAGAGATTTCAGAATGAACAATATATGGATAAAAGGTACTTGGATGTCAGAGTGTACTTGATAAGAAAATATGTGTCTTTTCATTGAAGGAATCTTTTAGACATTGTTGCCATACGTGTCAGTGGCTGAAAAATTGTTTCCTAAGAATTTTTTTGTTTCTTTTTGGCTATATTAATTAGTGTCAGAATGAGCATAGGTTTTAAAGTCAGATAAAAATTTAAGAAAAAATTCAGGGTCTTTCTCCAGTAACCTGAAAGAGCACATTTTAAAACCACTGAGCTGCTGTCTCTTTGATCGGTTGGCATTTCCTGTTGGTTCTTCTCTAAAGTTTTGAAGATGCTGAGTCATTGACAATACTCTGTACATTTCCCAAGGATTATCAAGATGCACTTTAGCTGCTTGTTTTCTCATTTGCTATCTTAAGAAAATGTGGTAGATATTTGGAAAATGAAGGTAGGTTTTGGTGGACATATTTCAATAATTGTTTTCACAGGTTTGAGATACCAAAGTTGTCTTTTGCCATCATTGGGCCATATTTGAAGCTTAACCCCGTAATTGCATGTTAACAATTACTGTCACTTTGCAGATACAGCCTTAATATTCATGGGTCAACTCCTGAAGGGACTCTGGAATGCCTTTTGCCAAATACCCTTAAGAGTTAGACCTTTGCCTGTTGGTAAAGTATAGGTGAGAAACGTTTAGCCTGACTGCTGGGCCATGCAGTTCTACTTAAGACCACTAGAAAGTCTCAGTTTGGCAGCCTGAAACCTTTCCTATACATTTATTTCTTTGGGGAGTCCTGTGAAGAAAAGCTGTTGAGAGATGTCATGATTTTGATACAATCTGGTTTGCAGTTTTTCTCTACCTACTGTAGCCCCTCTAGAAGAAATAGTTCAGAGGAAGATTAATAAGGGACTTTAGGTTCCAAAAACCAGCATCCTAGAGATACAGAGACCAGAAAGACATCAACACTATCCCAGTGCCTGAGAAAATGTCAGCTTTCATTGAGGGGAGAGGGCTGAGATAGACTGGGGGACCGTCCTCGTCATGCTGGCTGTGTGTCAGTTCATTCCACGTGCCTGCGTTATTGGATCCCCCTGTCAGGATGGGCTTGATTCAGGAGACGCGCTGATTTCATCTGAGGGTGACCCACTTTGATCGTCTTAGCCCAACTGTAACACCCGCTGACTCCCCCATCTTTTCATCATCTGGTGACCTCCTCTGGTCTCTGTGGCCATGGGAGGCAAATTAATTCATGTGTAAGCAGTCTGTCTTTCCTAATTTGATTTTCAAATGATGTGTAAGCAGTCTGTGTAAAACTGTGTAAGCAGTCTGTCTCTCATAATTTGAATTTCAATATTTGGATACAGTCCAGAAAATGATGTAAAGGATTTTGGATTTTCCTTATTGCTGTTGCCCAGTATTTCCACAGTTAATTTAGAGTTGACTAGAT